AGCATTCACTAATTCTAATTAATTTATATTTTTCTCAGGTAAGCATGATAATTATTTAACCATTTTCTACATTTAAATACAGAAAATAAAACTCATACAAAATTTATTTGAACAATAGCCTATTTGTTAATTCGTATAATAAGAAGGAGAAGTGGCTTCAACTTATTATTTTAGCGGATAGAAGATGTTATAAAGACCAGATATATTTCATATTCTATCTCTTCCATATGCTGATTATTTTCCTCATTGTTAGAAGATGACTATAGGAGCACCAGCCTTCATATCCTCACCTAGCTTTATGTGCAGGTAGAAAATAACCTAATCCTCAACTATGTCATCAGCGAGCTCATCTTCCTGAGGAGCTACCCAGAAGAAATGTCTTCATTTCTTGTTGGGAAGCACCATGTTACATGTTCTCTTCCAAATCAATTACTTGTGTTAAGAGAATGAATTTCCATAATTAGCTTAGGTCAGTTGTTCTCAACTCTGTTTGCACATAAATCACCTGGTAACTTACAAAAACAAAAGCAAAACATCCCCTTTACACTAGCAAACCAATTAAATCAGCATATTTGAGAATGGTGTATGGTTGTCTGTATTTGAAAAATTCCCAGTTATTGGCAAATGTGGAGACTCATTGGCTTAGATTTGTCAAAGTTCAAATTCTTAGCTCTGCGGTTAAGGAGAGGCTTATCATTCTCTGGGGTGGCTGGCCCTTTGGTACTGGATCAAATTTAGGATCTCATGATTAGGAGAAGGTGAACTGAGGGAAAGTAATTCTTTTGTTCTGTGCAATGGCTGCCATTTTATGTATTGAGAATGAAAGTGTCTTTGTGGCCTTAGAGTGGAAAGAGCTGATGAGTATGCAGATGTGTGTTATCACTGTAGCTGTCTTGGAAGAGACTTCCCTTGTGCTTGGGGAAACAGTTCTATTTTCTTCAACATACAGATAGTTTATGGAGTCAGAATACAAAGTTGTGGTTAATCTAAGCTTTGTCCTTCATACTTTAGCACAGGTTTGCTGCTCTGTTTCAGTTGGTTGAGCCAAGGTAATTAAAAATATGATTCTCAACCTATTTTTATCACAGCCATAGGAGCAGGATTTTGGCATACAAAATTCTTTTAAGTTTCTAATAGCATTTTAAACATTTTATTTTTGCATTTAAAAAATTTTTCCTTTTAGATATACATGACAGTAGAGTGTAGTTTGACATATTGTATGTACATGGAGTATAATTTATTCTTATTAGGATCTCATTCTTGTGATTGTGCATAACGTGGAGTTCCACTGGTGGTGTGTTCATATGTGAATGTATGAAAGTTATGTCTGATTCATTCTTTCCATCTCTATTCAGCTATTGCCCATCATTACTCACTAGACAAAATTGCCTTGAGACAATGGATCTGTATTCATCATTGCATGCCATTGTCAAATATGCATATGGAATAAGGCATGGGCTCAGCAAATATTTGGTGAATAAGTGAACACATCTGTCTTTGGTCAGACTACTCTAGGTATAGGCCATGCTCATGTTGAGATTTCCCAACCTAGAATCCAGGGATTTCTGAATTCTTTTCATTTCTATAGTCTTTCTTGATTTAGCAACCTAAATGATTCTTTTAATCCTTAAGTGAGGTATTTTACTTCTTCTGCCCAAAACCTCCCACTGCTTTCCTATCCAATGCAAAAAGCCAGTGAACTCTGAATCACTTTTAAGGTTTTGTGATCTGGAATTGTGACTGTTTGGGGGGTTTTACCTCTTACTTTTCCATATTTATTCCCATCAAAACAAACTGCCAGTCTTACAATTCCTGAACATGCGAATTCCATTCCTGCCCCAGGGTGTGTACTTGTTCCCTTTGTTCAGAACACATTCACCATCACTCCTCACCTACCTTTGCTCAAAGGTTGTCTTACCAAAGACACCTCTCTGGCCAGCCTATTTAAAGCATCCATTTAAAGCCCAGTTATTCCCTCTTTCCTTCCTGGTCTTGTTTTCTTCTAGGTTTTTATTGTCATTATAATCTTCAGTACTACATATTTGCTTTTTTTAAAGCCCTGTCAGATGTTGTCCCTCATAAGAGAACAAGCTTTTCCAGGGAATTTCATCATTTATAATTTACAGCTGGACCTCGGTTGTAAAGAACAGTGCTTGGAATAGAGTTGATTCTCAATTAAGAATTGATGAATGAACAAAGGATATGCTTTAACTATAAACTGGGTATAACATCTGCCCAACAACTTTCCTCTTTGTACTGGTGACAATACATACAAAATAATTAGCAAAGTGCCCAGTGCATAGTAGTTGTTCAGCAAAGTAAAATTTTTGTTATTTTTAAAATAATGTTTATAATGTTTGGGTAAAAATTGCAAAAATAAGTCTATTTTATTTAATGCCCTACACTGTGGAGAAATTACCTGTGATGTACAAGCTCCATTTGATAGAGTGTAAAGATAGAGATCCTTTTTCATGCTTAGGCAGTTGAAGTTCTTGCATACACAATATTTCAACTCCTAGACAGTTTTCAAATCTCTCAAGTACCAAGAGGAAATTATTTCAACCACAAAATAATTAATTCATTTGCAGATTCCTTTTTTTTTCAAGAATGGTATTGAATACTAGGTACTACATCTCTCTTTCTTCAGTTTATATTCTTTCCCAATAATCTGAACATATCTGGAAAAGATGGATCAAAAATTCAGACCATTGAGGAATCCAAAAATCCAAATCACCATCTTTATCTGAATTATTTCTATCACTCATGTCTCCATGTCATCAGAACGTACATCTATTTCTATTTCTGTAATATTGAGATATGCATCATAGACTTTTATTATTAGGAAGTATCTTAAGCCCATGAAACACAGAAAAATATCACGAATATCAGTAGGGCTTATTGTAACCTTTATGAAACATTTTGCCATATTTGATTCAAGTCATTTTCCTAATAAATATGACAATGTTGAGTACTTTTGTTTTTCTAGAGTCTATTCTTTCTTATTTTTTTCCATCAGCGATAATCCTGACTTTTCTTGTTTCTCATAATTGTGAGTTCATTTTTTTAAAAGTTTTACAACTATTATAAATCACATACATGCCTTAATTCAGTTTCAGATTTACATTTGAATAAAACTGAAGAAACAAAACACAGTATCTCATTTAGAACTCACAGTCTACCTTCTCTTGGAAAATCAGAGATTCCAGATCTGCATTTCTGAATCTTGTGGCCAGCCGACACTGACAGATGACCTTCTTTTCAAGTTGAGTTTCAGGTAATGACTGCTAACGTACTTCAGGCCTGTTTCATCTTTATTTCTTAATAGGTGTGCATCTTGCTTTTTGAACTTTAGCTCATTTAAAATAGTTTCTTCCAGGCCTATCTTCTGTTTTATTTGCCTCTTATTCTGTTCCGTACTTACGCTTTGTCAATTATTCTTTGGTTGAAGAAGGACACAGAATTTGTAATTTCCCCATGCTTGTAACCACCGGTGACCAGTTTACCTAATTTCATGCAGGGTCTAATTTTCTTTGAACTGAACTGAACATAGCAAGTATGTCCTCATTTGCCCCCATTTCTTTCTGTTACCTTTTTTTTTTTTTTTAATGAGCTTGGCATTATTTGGAAAAAGTTCATATTCCCTTCTTCTTAGCCTTGGCTCTTATAAGTTTTCTTTGAAGTTGTTAAAGTAAACCTACAGGGATTACGATTTCAAGTCATCTATGCTTTGTTGACCTGATGTGTATTTTATTCTATCTTTGTCATCAAAAGAAATTCTTAAAGTAGGAATGGGCAATGAAACAAGAGAAAGACTGACGTTATATCTCAGAGCCTGTGGGAAGAAAATCAGATTCAATAACAAAGCATTCATTTTATAAATTTTAATTATTAATCTTATTTTAAGAATTGTTGATGACCACCAGGGAAATTATGATACTTTTAATAATTTATGATAGTGCTAGATAATACCACACTATTTATTGAATAATACAAGGACAAACAAAGGGAAAATTGGGAAAAACATTTGCATATGTAATTTCTTGACACACACTGTCTATAATAGACTCTCCCTGGAGCACCAGATTATTCTCAACAAATTTTCCTACTTGGTAGCAAACCAAATAATCATTGTGCTGATTTCATCCCATATGGAACCACATTCAGTTTCTGAATCCAATCATGGGAAGTCACAAATTCTCCTATTCCTATTATGACCAGCAAAGCGGGTGAGCAGGGTTTAACCTTATGGTTTTCACATCTCCTTAAAAGGGAAATACATTCCTTATCTGGGTCTTAAGTTCTATAGTAAAAATTTCTAAAAGACATTAAATAAGAATATGTAGCATATTTTCTTTAATAACAGGCCTTGCACTTCTTTTTAATTTCTTCAGAACTTTGGTTTTGATAGCCTTCATCCAATGAAATTATATCATATTTTCATTAGTTTATATTTGAAAGACAGAGAAAGAGGATAAATTACCTTGAAGAAATTATACAGAGAACTAAGGAAATACATATCAAGGTGATTTTATAATCTCCTCAGTTTCTTTGAAAAAAGAACTTCCTCTCCCCCAGTGATTTTTGGTGACACATATTGTCTCCCTGCTCTTTAATATAGATTGTGCAGTAATTTAGATACAGAAATTTAATCTGGCAGAGCACAAATGCTTCCAGATAAGGTTGATTTGCTTTCTATCCTGAAATAGATTCTTAAAATTCTGTATCTAGAGGAAAAATATACCTTCTTGAAATGCGAATGAGAGTGTGACCTCTGTCAAGGTCTGAGGGCCATCTGGATTTCTTTGACATGGCAAACTAGTGTGTTTCAGAATACAGATCACTTCATGAAGAGTGTGGTCATATAGAACATCTAATACACACTTCAATAAAGATGCATACTTTCATTATTGGGCTAATTTTGTGTCCTTGCAATGTCTGAAAAAAAAGTTCTCACTGAAGATTAAAACTAAGTACACCCCAAAGGAAAGACACACACCAACTTTGTTTTAAAAGAAACAGTATTTATTAAGAAATTATATGCTGGATTCTACAGTCTGTGAAGATGGTTTATTCCATTTCCACAGCACAAGACAATAGCTAAGAGTATTTGGAAAACACTTGCAATGCTTGGGAATGAAGAATTCCTAGGAACAGGAGATGAAGTGAAGTGATGTATGAACTAATTGAGATTTTTGGATCCAAAGACAAGACAATCTTTTCTTTGTCAATCTAGTTCTCACCTGTGTGAACATTTAAACCTGTCCATGGAATCTCATGCCTAGACTGAAATATTAGGTAATAACTGGATCATTTCAGTTCAGTAGAGCGAAGCATGCTCAATTTAGTCACAGGTCAAACCAGCAGTTAACTGTTGTTTCACATCTGAAATAACTGCATTCTTTATTAATAAAAATGGTGCTTATAGAGGGCAGAAATATAACTTTTTCAAGTATTTTATCCTTATGATCTGAAGTACTTTAAACTATAAATTAAAAATAAATTATAAAAACTAGCATACAATGTATCTTTTCTTACATGATGCTATTGTAAATAAGCTTTAAATGTAGAATTGCCATACCACCTGACTCTATATATGGTCAACAATGAGACATGCTAATCATAAAAATAGCTTTTACAAATATACATTTGTATACAGTGTCTCTCTTACCATTCATAAATGTCCTTCACAGTTTAAGACTTAAAAAAAAACATAATTAGCAAGAGGGAAACACATCTACAATTTAAACCATAAAAACCTGACAATTATACAGCTTAGAACATAGAAGAAATGGAATTTCTAAAATTGAACAATACTGTCCATCTTATTTATTTGGGTTTTTATACAAATCGAATCAAAGATGCTGCAATCCAGTAGGAAACCTTCTTTCACATTTCTGGGGGTTGTCACAGTTTCTCTTTTCTGTTTTTGTGTCATCATATATTATTTCAGATCACTTTATCTGTAGAAACTGAGAAAAGAAAAAAAGTATTTTAAAACACAGGGATTTGTGTTTCATTGTTATTAGCATGAGAAGATGTAAGTTAGATTTTAGGGCTTAATCAAGAGAGGGATAAAGAAATAGTTAGATCCTTAGGATGAATATTTTTTCTATTTTGTTTAGTTGTAGATGGCCACAATAACTTTATTTTATTAATTTTCAATGTGGTCCTTAGAATCAAACCCAGTGCCTGGCACAATGCTGAACCACAACCCCAGCCTTAGGGTGATTTTTAATTTGACAGCAGAATGCATTTTGATTCATTGTACATAAATGTAGCACAATTTTTCATTTCTATGGTTGTACACAATGTAGAGTCACACCATTATGTGCAGTTGTACATGAACCTAGGGTAATGATGTTCATCTGATTCCACCATAGGATGAATATTTTTGGTGACAGATTCTTAGATTGATTGTTCAAGGCAATCTTAAATTTATTTATTTTTTATAGCAATAAATACTTTTTCAATCCATCCAATTTGTTGCCTGAGATTAGCAATTGTTTTTCAGCTTGAGCTCTTATGTAAGAGCAGAACCTCTTGAAGTTCCAGGCTCAAGAAAGGATTTGATTTGCCCATGAATCTTTGCTGTCCTTAATAAGAGTGACTGTAGCATACTTTCCCCAACAGGGTGCATTTAAGCATTTTTGTACCTGGGATCTACAGGTCTCTGATCTGAGTTACACAATCTGACTTGCAAAAGAAGAAGGCCAGAAACAGAAAAGACTGTGGAAGATAAATTTCATGGTGCAACTGTGAGTCAAAAACATCATATAAAACCTCAAATCTAATTGGTTGAAGAACTGAATTGAGAAATTGAAGATGAAAATGATAAAAAATTCAATTAATGTGAAAAGGCAATTACTTATCCTAGAATCTTACCAAGTTTCAGGTCTTTATACTTTGATAGAAAATATGATTGCACCTATTGTCATCCCATCAATTTCAAAGGTCTTTTCAGTTAAATGGAAAAGTTTATGTATGTCTTAAGAGTCAAATACATGCACATCAAGGCAACTATTTGAAAGGGAGTTGCTGATCTACTGTGAGTAGACAGAAATTTTGGAAGCCCATTAAAAGATTCTGAAAAAGACTGAGCTTTGCTATTGAGTGATGAGAATTGCTGTGAATGTCTGTAGGTTAAGTTCTCAGGTCTGGCCAAGATTTCTGGTGGAAAAGAGCTCAGTGAACCTCGATGGTAATCTCTCCTTCCTACACACTCATCTTTCACATTCATCAATACGACCATCTCAATAATTTCAGTTAACTGGAATGTTGTCCTCAGTGAGTACACACCTTTTCATTCTAGAAGGGTTCAAATTAAATATAAAATGCTTATGACCATAGAAATCCTAGTACCAGTATTTTTTGTTAAGGAGAAAACCTGTGCCCATTTGGTAACTTGAGTGCTTATGTTATTTAAGAGAATTTAGCTTACTTGAGTAATAGTCTTGTGATTTTAGTTTAGAACATACACTGAAAAATTAATCTAGAATAGGATTTCAGTTTTATGACTTGAAATCTTACTATGCTTCTGCATTATATTGGAATAAGAAAACTTTTGGCCATAATAATGATACATTTGATTTATTAGATTTTAAGAAAATTTTCACTCTCAGACTATTTATTAAACCACACAAATAAAGTACTTCTCAAGAAGATATCAGATGTATTGAATTTACAAATGCCATTTATAATGTTTGAATGCATTTAATTAACTAATCTGGGCTAGTCATTATTCAAAGGACTCTCAGAAGTTGTTTGTATAACTTGCTGTATTTATAAATATAATCCTAATAATAAATGCCTAACAATTTGATTTTAAAACCTTAATAAATCACACTTAACTTAAAATTGACAAGATACCTTTCCTTCAGAGTCTTTTTCCTACAATTAAAAAAAAAAACATTAAGTGAATTATATTTCAAAACTTCTAGGAGTAAGAAACAAATATATTTTGATATTTTGATTCTCTTTCTCTGTTTCTCTCCCTCACTCCTTTTTCCCTTTTATCTCCTTTCTCTCTCCTTACCCAATATATACTATCTAGTGATTATACATAGATGCATCTTAAAAAATGAAAACATCACTCACACATGTTCTTCATGTAATTCTAGGCTGCGTTTATACACATGGGGAATGTCCATTAGTCTTTAAAACACAAAGTTTTGGTACAAAATAGGCATGCTGCTCTTTTGTGTGGTACAAAGGAAATTTCATACATAACCTGTAGGCACATACCAAAAATGATCAATTATCAATGTAAAAATGAAAAAGAAATAAAATTAAATTAACCTCTAGGCTAATGCTGCTATGTGAAACTGAGGCATAGCAGTTTTTGATTGATAACCCCTGTGTGTAGGAAGGAACCAAGATTATTTATATGATTGTAATTGCACTCTTTCCTCCAAAGTCTCCATTGATCACTTTCTTATTATGAGTGGAAAATGCTAAAAGTGGTGCCATAGCTGTGTTGACTAATCTTTGTGTTTCTGCAGGTCTTGGCAGGTAACATTAATTTAGTGGGTTTTTACATCATCCTGTGCATCTCAAAAGAGGCAATGGTAGTTAAGCAACTGTTTGATTAAGAGGAACAAAAAACAGCCTACAGATTTTTTGTGCATCTTCCATCATCCTTAGTACATTTCCCCCTTATTTTGCTCCTTAACTGTAAAGGATTATATAAAAATAATTATTGTGGGAAGAAGAAAGGTAGGTTTGAAAGTAATTGAAGTCTTACTTCTTGCCATAAAGCTTCTGCCTGTCATTTATAAAACAAAAAGCTTCATTAACTTTGCATTGTGAAGTAGGTATTATTAACCATATGGATGCAAGTCAAGCATATAATTTTCCTTCTTGAAAAACAGTAGTAAAATATATTCATGGAGCTTTTATACAACTTGCAGCCTGAGAAAAGACTTCTACAGGCCGGGGAGAAAGAAGACAAACTATGACATTCTTGCTGCCTTTTTCTCAAGGGAGACAACCACTTAAGGAGCTGATTTGTTAAGTATAATGTAAAACTAATTGTGCTCTCTTGAAGAGCAGGTAATTTATCTGCTGGCTGTATGGGAGAGTGGATGCTTTTAAAACAAATTCTCCTGATGATGAATGCTTTTTCAACTTTCAATTTCTCTCATTTCTGAAAAACAACAAAGAGAGCCACTGAGATGGGACTGGATTCTATTGAATCAAGCAATTTACTTCTATTTGATGAAGATAAAAAAGATAATATTAATCTACAGGGAAAGCACATTTAATTTTAAACTTCAAGCATTGATGTGTTTGAAATAAAATAGGTACAGCAATATGCAGAATAAATACACCTTATTTACAGCTGTATCCCCCCCAAATCATACTTTTAAATAAGTCTCGTGACTTAAGTATTAGGAATGCTTATACTTTTCCTAATTGAGGTTTATAATTAATAAACATTTAGAGAAATCTGGATAGACTATATTTTTAGGTAATATCTATAAAAGCAAAAAATTATGTGGGTGATATGGGACTCATGAAGTTTTAGAGAAAATGTCTTATGAACAGGAATTATTTATATTTATTGTCATCATTGATCATATTTCTTGAGTATTTGCTCAGACATTCACTTTTTATGAATGATGTGAATGTGTTTGGCTTTAACTAATTCCTCATTACAAATGAAATGAAATGAATTGTATTAATTCAGATAGCTAAATAGCCCAACAGATTCTCAGCATCTACTGCTCATTATAAATTAAAACTTGCCTTCTGTTAATAAGCTCTTGGGGACAAAATAACATTTTGCTTTTAGACTAAAAGAATCACACATCACAAAAACTATAAATGAAGGTAACTACTCTGAAGAGTCTCTATTTCCTTAATTGATGACCATTTAACATATAGGAGGTGGGACAGGGAACACAGGAGAGAACGAAAATCTATGGTAATTGTGGAAATAAGATTCTGATTGTCTTCTGAGACTTTAGCTTTAAAATCAAGATTTAAATGATGAAGGCAGAGACTGTGCAATGTCACTAAAGAGAAGCAGAAGGTTTCTAGGTATTTGAGAGTTGACTAGAATATAACCAAAACTTGGTCAAATCAGCCAATGAAAGAATGTGTGGATATAAAAATGATGTATAGCAGTTAAGAGAATCTAGGTGGGCAACCACTTGTGCCCATCTGAGAATTATTCACAGGAGATATGTCCAAGCTCTGGAAGTGAACCTGCCCTGTGACAATGGGAATATTCCTACTATATTCATGGTCATACCAGCAATCTCAGAACATTCAACTGTCAGCACAACCACCTCTCTGCTCTGCATCCACGCTCCTCAAGAAAAACTTATAATTCCTAGCAGTTTGCCTGTTGGAAGAGGATGCTCAGGCCAGAGCACACCAGACTGGTTCAGTTATAGTTACCACTGTAAATCAATAAACAGATCTTCTGAATGTGCATGCTGATCTATTACAGGTAGGATAATTTGCATTTACCTCAAGCTATTGATAAGTTCTACACATCTGTAAGACTAGCCTTAGATTTTGGATTTTGGAAGAAGCTTTCAAAACCCTGAAAACCTGCTTACTTGCTACCCAATCTCTCCTGGCTTTACCAATATTTGCAATATGCATTTCAAGATCTTTAATACAGAAAATATTTACAAAGCTACAGGTCAGGGTGGGCAGGATTTCATTGAATCTGAACAATAAGGAATCAGAAATTATTTAACTTTCTTCTTTTATAGATAAAGATACTAAGACCCATATAGGTTGAGATACAAGCCCAGGAGGTTGGTGGAAACCCTGGCTGAACCCAGAATCCTGATATGAATCGTTTGACTTTACATTCTTGGTTGTCAAACTTTAGGGATCCTCTAGAATGACCAAGTGGGCTTATTAAACTTGGTGTTAGTTTTCTGATTATTTAAGTCTGGAGTGAGGTCCATGATTGCATATGTAATAGGTTTTGTAGTGATGCTGATTTGGGCAT